TCAATTCATTCCGCTTCGTACATGTACGAGCCAGCCGCCCGTCGTTCGCAGGCTAGCCGCACCGGCACACACGCGGACAGAAACTCCAGATGTCGATGGTATTCGGCAGGCGCCACACGTTGGGAGGGTATGCGTGCGCGCGTCGACAGGGTGACAGGACGCACATGCGCGCAAATAGGATTTGCGTACGGTAGCGGGCTCGCACGCTTGGCCGATGCCAGGAGGAGAAGGACACCGCGCGAGTGCAACACCCTCGTCTGGCAAGGATGCGGACGCACGGCGGCTTCGCGCGACTGAACGTCGGGTGTGTGTGCGCACGCGCTCAGCTGGATGCCGCACGGTAGGGCCGTCGATGCTGTCCGCAGCATCGGGAAGCGGCAGACGGCACGCAACGGGCGGCTGCAAAAATGGCAACAGGCGAGAGGCATTTACCAGGGCACTTCTGCTCGCGCGCCGTGGCAACGGCGGCTCGCACGTACATGTGCGCAGCGTGCCGCGAGGCCCGCGATGCGACGGATCTCTCGGTGCGTCGTGCGGCATGTCCCTCGCACTCGGATGACCGGGGAGGGCGCGGGTCGCGCACGCTGTGCGGGCAGGGCGGCCACGTCCATGGGTCGATGTGCCCGCGCTGTCTGTCGCGCCGGCGTCACGCGCGCAGCGCGTCTGGTGTCCTGGACGCGACCGCGCGAAGGGTGAGCCGATGCGCGGCCATTCTCCCGCCGCGTATCTCCCGCCGCGTATCTGACGCTGGGTCGCGAAGGAGACGCGGGAGACGTGAGATCGCGACGAACTGTCGCATCCGCATCCGGGGGGCGCCCGTGCGCATGAGGCAAGGGGTGCACAGGCACCGGGAGCGGGAGACGGGGGTAGTGTGGCTGGGGCATGTACAGCGGCGCAGGGACGTCGGGGGGAGTGTGCAGCACAGAGGGAGATAGGAAATGGGGTGAGGGATGGGCAGGGAACACGCACAGAGGAACGGTTGGGCGGCACAGGGCGGGAGAGGACGCATCAGACGCGGCTGACACGGAATCCCCATTGTGCGTTGCTAGGCCGCGAGCCACGGGTGCTGATGGAGGTGGTCCGGGCGTGGTATGCAGAGAGGCGTCGTCGTCGGCGTATAAGAAAGGAGAGAGCGCGAGGGATAGCAGCATGGTCGCCTGCTATCTTCCTCGCTGCTCTTTCTCGCCGCCATTGGCTCGCTGCTGGCGATGGTGTCTGTGCATTGAGGACGCCGTTCAGGAGCTCTGTCGAGAGGGGTAGGCGTCGGATCCGTGGTAGGTGATGCGGCGGTCGCACGTCGTACACACACTGATCACGGTCACTGTGCAGAACATGGGGTACGTACCTCGTTAGGAGTGCAAGACGTGCGCTCGCGCAGTGGGTGTGCGCATCGCTGCTCGTCAGTAGTTTTCCGAGGCCAGGTATGTAATGGCGTACGTGTACGTTATGCGCGTGCTGATGATCACGGGCAAGAGTGCACCGAGACAGTGTGAGGAAAAGCGTGAGACGAGGCAATCGCTAAGCGCGTAGCGGGCCATTAGCATGTTAGGCAGGCGCTATGGTCATGACCGTCCGAACGGTCGATTGTCAATATGTACGTCTAGCTGCGAATGACCATCGTTGTTGTATCGACAACACTGCGTCGGAGACGGCCGACGCCTCAGCTCGTCCGGCGTCGCAGAGAGGCGGAGGGAACGCGGGCTGCGCGCTCGAGGGCTGAAGGGATGGAGAGCACCTGGCGTCAGCCAGAGTGGGACGCGGAGCAAGGGAGAGCCGGCGGGCGGGCTGCGCGATTCGCTGACGAGCGGACACTATGGACGAAGGCCTGCGTGCACAGGACGCTAGATTCCGGGCGCACGCGATGTCTTTACAATAGGATGAGCGATCGATCGTAGGTTGCGCACGAGGCACTCTGAGGGAAAGCGCGAGACGAGGCGATCGCTATGTAAGCGGGCCACTACTATACCAGGTAGTAGGCGCATGAGTCACGTCGCACGGTCGATTGTGCAAAGTATCTGCGTTGGCCATCGCTATCGACACCACTGGACGGCCAATGCCTCAGCTCGATGGT